TATCAAATGTAATAAATTTTCCTAAAATTTTCAAAATATTCTAATAATTTTCAATAACTATTTAATACATTTTAAATAAACTTTCAAATACTTTATATCTTTTAATTTCAAAAATGTTATTTTATGAAAATGTAGTTTTATGAAAATTTTTGAAAATTTTATTACATTTGTCTAACTATGGGGATTTATTGATTTTTTTTTAAAATTGTTATTAAATATTTTTTTATTTGATAGTTTACTAACAAAATTACACTAATTTATCTGTTATTTTTCAATATAAATTAATTAGTAATTTCATTTTCAAAATTATAATATTTTGTTCCCCCATTTGTATTTGGTTATTAATTATAATAATAACAATAACTAAAATTTTATACCTTTTGATAATTGTTAAATATAATTCTCAATTTTATAGAAATTAGTTGAAGAGTTTTCAGTTTCTATAAAATGTTGTTAATGAGTTAATTAATAACAATATTTATTACTTTTTGGTCATTTACTAACCGTACTAATAAGAATATTTAATTTTTGGTAATTTACTAATGGTATTTATTAACTTTTGGTAATAACACTATTTAATACTCCTTGAATATGGGTGAGATTAAATATTAACCGTATTTAACTATTTATTAATTAATATGAATATTTTAAAAGAGGGAGAGTGGATATAAATCGGGGGGATGCATTTTAGGAATTGATTAAGGAGTGGGGCAACATGATACTTTCCTATTGGTTTAATTTAGATATCTTAGGATTGTAGGAATATTTATAGATAGTTGGGTGACATGGCTTAATGGGAGTGGTGGAAAGGGGAGAGGAGAGAAAGTCAAAGAGAATGCAAGGTGGGGATAATGGAGCAAGGAGAGGCATGGTGACGAGGGCCCATGCTTTATTAAGCGAAAGCTAAACAATAAAAATACATGAGTATATAATTGTTTTATATTTTAACTTTTTAATAAACAATCCGATCAAACTCAACCCAAGTTGGTCAGTTTTCTAGTATTTCAAATTGGTTTTGGTTTAATATATATATAT